CCCCAAAACCCCAAAACCCCAAAACCCCAAAACCCCAAAACCCCAATATTCAGAATCAATATTGACACTTTAATGGAAAGAAGAGAGTTATATGCAATTAGAAATTACTTAAAGAAACTCTCTTCTACAATAACTATTCCCTAAAAAATGAAAGGGAATGAGCTTCCAGAGGGATTTCTTTTCCAAGCAACAGGTGAGTCACAGTACGGATAATTTGCAAGTATGTCTTCATTATCTGAATTGTGAGACTCATTCTCAGTCGTGATGAGATTTTGATAACTATGATTGGGACTAATAAGTGGTATATTCATCAAATCGCCAATTGGTTCATCTTCATCATCATCTGATAAACTACTATAACCTAAAATTTAAATTAGAATTAACAGATGTACCATCTGAATAAGTGCTGTGAGAGTAAGAATAACCATAATTACTTGAACCATCCTCAATGTCTCTGAGTAAATCAATTTGATTATTGTCATAATCCGGCTCATCAAAATATTGATATACATTTTCCTTCTGATAAATAGTCTATAAATATAGTTTTCATTAAAGAAAGCTTAGCATTACTTTTCTTCAGACTGGACAAGTGTTATGTCCTTTAATCCAGTCTTTGATGCAGTGCTTATGGAAAATGTGACTTCAATTGAAGAGGATTGAAACTCCGTTGGTTTCAAAGTTTACCAAAATCTCTTCCAAGTTGTCTTCTATATCTCTTTGTCTGACAACTCCAATGATATCTTTGAGTATCTCTGAAGGCAAGTTCATTTTGAAGTCTAATCCAGATTCATTTTTGTTCTTACCTAAGTGATCAAAGTACAATATGACTATATCTTCAGAACAAGATGATCCAGTGGATCCAGCATCAACAATGTTGCTTTGTTCTTTATGAGAACTCTTCAGCTTTTTCTTCAAAAGAGGGATCGCTTTTGTATCATTTTCATCAAAGCTTGTAATACAAATTGAGCAACCATAATCTATAAATGTCCTATTTAATGTATGTATAAAACTTACCTCCTTCATCTCCTTCACCCTTGGATGAACTTCTCTTACAACCTTGAGCAGAGTCACACCCAGTTCTTTGCTTCTCCTCTTCACATAAAGTATCTTTACTCCCTCCTTCTTTTTCAAAGCCTTCTTCCCTTCTCTCTTTCTCTCCTTTATCTCTACACAACCACATTAACCCCTCCACAACCACATTAACCCCTCCACACCCACCCATCCTCTCTTCCCTCTACCCCCTCTACCCCCAAAACCTCCCTTCCCCTCCCTTAACCCCTCTTACATAACCTTCGGTTCCCTTTCTTCCATCTGAACCAAATAAAATCAATAATTTCAACTGCAATTCCCCCATTTGGGGTTTTGGGGTTTTGGGGTTTTGGGG